TTTGGCTGATTCCTGATCTTTCACAATCCCCGCGCGAGTAGGAGTAACGCGGTGCTGTGTTGTGTCTGGGGGGTACGTGAAGGGCGTTGTTCTGGTCGGTGTAAGTAAGGTGGTTACCGTGAACTCAGAAGGACTTGGAAGAGTGGGGTAATTCTGTTGTGTACAAAGGGTATGTGGAAACGGTGCCTGTTCCATTTAGGAGTGATCCTGAGGAGATTTCAGTAATTGCTTTATAAGTTGCGTTCCAGAAAAACAAAGAGTAGCACGTGTAGGGCGGAGATGTGGTCGGACGGCCCCGGGTAGGAAAAGCGGAGCTGTGCTCTGGGGCTGCACCTGAGCTCGTTCTGCAGGGAAGGAGAGGTGGCCTTTGTGAATAAGTAGTGCACGTGGCTTTTACTACTGTGGTGCGAGGGAAAGGCTTTAGGTGGGAGCAGAGCGGAGCAGGATGGGGGACAGTCCCTCCTGTGAAAGCAAGGCCCCTGCATTCTCTAGGGAAGCCACCGCTCTTGCTGGGTGGGTAGATAATAACAAATGTGGGTTTTGTAGCTACTCTCTGAACACTTATTTTTGCTGTGTTGTAGTAGTAGTAAGGCTAGAAACTTCCCAGGTAACTTTTGTGTCTTTTTCCTAGGGTAAATGGAAGAACAAGGAGCGAGTGCTGATATTCTCCTCTCGTGGAATCAATTTCAGAACAAGGCACCTAATGCAAGACTTAAGAACACTGATGCCTCACTCTAAAGCAGGTAGGGTCAAGCGTCATTCCTAGTTTATATTTTCAGAATACTTTTAAGCCAAGAACTTAAGGCAACCTGCTCTTTATTTTTTTTGAATGTGGTACATAAGTGTGTTGATGAAACTTGTATCTGAAGCAAACACCAAACCCCTTTTGAGCCAACAAATACAGCACTTCACTTCTTAATATTTCCTGAGACATTAATCCTGTGGCATCAGTCCTGCAAGTGCCCAGTTTTGCTGCTATGCTTGTTTATTCCATAACAGGATTGAAATTTTTCATTTATAAACTTGTAAAATTTTTGCAAAAGGACTGGCTGTTAAAGGAATGTCTTGTGTTAAATTGTCTTTCCAGCCTCGTAAATGTTGTTCTTATCTTCCAGATACTAAAATGGACCGTAAAGACCAGCTATTTGTAATTAATGAGGTAAGCAAGGATTTTTCTAGTGCTCATCTTCTTTTTTTCAATATTCTATGAAATTCAGTGTGCAAGGGAAAAGGGCAGCCAAACTCAGAGGATATTATACTAGTTAGAGGAGTTGTGTAATTTCATAGGTGAAAATTATTGCTATTTAAAACCACTTCTGTTAAAACGAGAAGTTGAATTTTGATGAATGAAAGCGAAATTAAACTTTTAATTAAAATTTTTAATTAGATTTTTGTTATGAAGCTCCTGCTCTCAAGCTTATGCCTGGAGAGCTTATCAGGTTGTTTGTAGCTTCAGTGAAGTTATTTCTCTTTTTAATAATATCGTGAGGTTTTTCAACAAAACAAGTGCTTCAGCTCAAGTGTGGGGATCATTAGGTGGAACTTAATATGTCGAAACCTTTGCTTTTGAACTTGTATTTTGGAGAGGGGAAAATCAAAGTGATGAATGTGGAAGGTTTTCAGTAATATCTTCAGAATGTTTGTAAACAGCTAATTTGAGATGTCTTGTGTAGGTGTGTGAAATGAAAAACTGCAACAAGTGCATCTTTTTTGAAGCCAAAAAGAAACAGGATCTCTACATGTGGTAAGGAAATGCTGTGTTTTATTACATTTCTATAAATAGCTGCAGATGCTCCAGTTTTAGCCTAAATTTCTTACTGTGATAGTGAAGGTGCATGCAATAGTGTTGCTTAGTTAAATCTGTTCTAATATTGCAGTTCTGTGGATAGTGGAAGTTTACAGTGCACGACCAGCTTTTGTAGACTGTTTACAGAAGCATTTTACAAAATTATTTAGAAAGCAGGTATTTATGAGTAGGTTAAAGGAACTCAGTAATGTTATGAAAGCAATCAAAATTACTTCAATAGAGGAGTTGAGGGTGTACTGTGGAAATCCAGCATACCTTCTGGCTGCTGTTAATGTTTTTCTTTTCTGTCTTCCCCACCACCTGTCCTCCACAGGCTTTCAAACACACCACAGGGACCATCAGCTAAATTCTTGGTGCAGAATGGTAAGCCGGTTGACACTGTTGTGTTTGTACTCTTGCTTCTTTGTACAGTTTTCTGTAAGTACTAAAATGATACCTTTGTAAAAATCACTGTAGTTCACACGCTGGCTGAATTGAAGATGACGGGAAATTGCCTAAGGGGCTCACGGCCCCTCTTGTCTTTTGATCCAGTAAGTAAAGCTTCCGTTTCATTGACTTTGCTTTTGTTCTCTTTGCATGACTATTGCATTTAGATTTGTATGTAAAATTCAATTTTTTACTCTTTGTAGATATTTGACAAGGAGCCACACTATGCCCTGCTAAAAGAATTGTTTATTCAGGTCAGTCTGTAGTTCTGCTGTCGAATGTTTCTTCTTCACTGGAAATGGTCTTTGGCAAACATATTTAAAAATCTCAAGCGTTTTTTCAAGCAGCAGTTTAATCCTTCTGATCTTTCAAAAAGTCCTCCAACAATTTGGGTCGTGTTCTCATTGTGACGTGAGCACTTGTTCTTAAGTTCTGAGTTTTGAAATGTAACCTGGAATTGGGGTTTTAGTAAATTAAAACTAATGTAAAATGAGCCATTTATGCTTGACCTCTTAAACTGTAGATATTCAGAAATGGTGCCTCTTATTACAGATATTTAGTACTCCGCAGTATCACCCCAAAAGTCAGCCTTTTGTGGACCACGTCTTCACCTTCACCGTTACAGATGAGAGGATCTGGTTTCGGAATTACCAGGTTAGTGGTCTCTCTTAGCTGTTCAGAAGGAGCTCAGTGGAGTAATTTCATATCAAGTCCATTAATTAAAATAAAGTGAGAAGAATCATTATTATTGGGATATAGAATCATAGACATAGAATCAAATGATTCTGAGATCATCAAGTCCAACCTTTGATCCACTACCAATATGACATGCCAGCCTCTAGTGCTTCCAGATTCAGTCCTGATACGATTTACTTTCTCCTGTATCTCTGGAGAGATCTGGTTCAGTCAACTTGTATTCAGTGAGTTGTGGTTCTGTGAGGGATGTCTTGGCAGTGGGAAGTACTACCCAAAGCCTACACTTTGCCCTGTAATCTTACTTGCTGCTTTGACCCAAAGTGAGCTG